AATAACATTGAACATTCTTTGCTATCTCCTCCAGACAAGTTAGCTAACTATAAGGATACTTCTAGAAGACATATTCATTTTTCGGTGGATAAGAAACATTGTAAAAATCCAATATAAATTTACTTACCTATTTCTTAAGACTGTCCACAGTTCCCCACCCAAACAAGGTTCCAGTAACATGTATACAACTTGTTATCTTTATATGTACAGTAAAGGCTGAAATATGAAGGAGGGAAGTAAAACACGGAGTATATTCTTTCGTCTAAGAAATGAATATATTAGTTAGCAAACATATTAACAATATATCCATTCTGAATAAACTATCTGTTCGTTTTTATCTCATACTCATGGGTACTGTTCAGTCAACTACTCATTCGGCTAATGATTCACCTTACATAGAACGATTGAAACAGAAACAGTTTTTCTCACGTACTTCTTCAGACAATCTCAGGCATTATGCCCACTACAACAATAAGTGGTGGTGATGATTGGAAGGAAACTTTACTATTTCTTTTTGGGATAAAAGTCGACAGGTGACTTGCAGTTTCTAGACATAAATCATATTTTGATATGTCTCATTGTCCTAGAAACGAACCAAGGTTGTCTAGTATTAGTTATTTTTAGTGTTAGCTTGTGAAGGCTATATAATCGAATTGGCCTGGTTGAAGAAACGACATCAAAACAAGATAATGTGATCAATATCATGACTATTACTGAATCACTGAATTCGGTAAAACCATATGGAATATGATGGATCATTCCTATAGGAGAAGTGTAGGTGCAGTGCTTTTATAAGCAAAATTATATTTTTGCGGATAATAGATTCCCATCTCTCATGCGTCAAATGATGGTGTACCCTGTTGCCTGTTGAAAACCTTTCAACTGAACTCAGAGTAACATTGAACAGAGATAATAAATTCATAAAAATGCCAACATATAATTTATAGACTATGGTAGATTGCTCACTGCTGAGGAGTCTTACACTAGGACGAAAATGTTTCAAAGGTTTCCAGTGGTTCTCCAGCTGACACCAGTTCATGATGAATACCAACTTGAAATATAAAAAATAGCCACAAAACCTAGAAAGTGAGCTTGATCAGTTTGTTTAATATAGCACAACATAATACAATACTGTTTACTAGATGACATTTGGAGTATAACTTGTTGTTCATAAGCATATCAAGGTGACCCAACTTCACACCTTATCTAACACCTCAACCAACCTAATCAACAGTCTATGTTGATATATTTGAATACTTCTGGTGGTGGCACATCAAAAAGTTCCACATTTCCTCAGGTATATAAAGCTATTTAAACTTTATCAAGCAAGCAACTATCAGGAATCAGAGGGAGTAAAAGGTGTCTGACTTATAACGTTTCTCAAAATGCCCTACTCATAGCTACAGTCACCTCTCTTGTAAGTAAACCATTTACCTGTTTATCTCAAATGAAATTCCTTCTACATGCTAGTTTCTTTAACAATGTTTGACCACAAATTGGTCATCTAAATCCTTTCAGCTCTCGCTGATGACTGATAAAAAGATTGTTGTGTTGACTATATTCGAAATTCCTCTCCTTCTTCTTGTTGAAAAAAAGTCAACACGCTTTCCTGTGCACACACTAATTCAAATGAAGCTACTGATATCTGCTACGCCTTTCTAAACTTTTTGTGGAAGTGCTTCGAAACTCTTGATACTGCATTTACAGCAGACCCATCGACCTTAAGATGAGTGGTACTACCCCGTTAAGTTATCTGCTCGGCTAGTGTCTCTTTGAGTACACAATTAAAGTCTCCATCTCCTAAATGAGTTATTGACGGCCTTACAACTGTCCATTAGGATGTGAATAAAGGCACACTTTAACTAACACTTTATTATCACCATCTCTTTGCTAGATTAGGATATAGAAATTACTATCCAAATGTATTTTTTTTATATTGGGCTCTCAATTCGTAAACTGTGATTTACCACCATGATGACCAGATCTGGATGTTCAGCTCTTTTTAGGAGACTAAATATTTTTCAGTAGAATTCATACTTCTTTGCATCTAAAAGGTAGTCGCTTAGTAAGCAGATATTTGAAGGGTTTATACTTATCAAGATCTCGGTTAGTTCCAGTGATATTCAGTCAAATAGTTAGAAAAAACACATCATTGGAGCACCTGGCACAGATGTACATCAGTTAAAGATCTCACATTTCACAGCAACATCCAAAGAATAGGTGGCTAGGAATGGAAATACTAAGGCATACAAAAGTATTTGAGCAGACAGAGAATAAATATCGTGACTCGGTGACCTAGTGGATAACGCTCTGGCGTTTAGGGCAGTCGGTCCCAGGTTTGAGTCCCAGTGGGAACAACATCGCTCACTGAGAGGCAGGTGTATCCAGCTGATGAGTCCTGAACCGAACGAAACGTATGTCCTGAATTTCAGTACCATCAGTGACATCAAATTTGAAAAATATCGGGAAAATGGAATCATCCGCAGCAGAGCCAATATCCCACTAGTGGTTGATCAATTTGATTTAAACGATGATGCAGATGCACAAATTATGCCATGTAAGACTAAATATATTATGGATGAAGCAAATACTGAAAAGATGAAGGATTCACTTTTTCACATAAGAATTAATGATACATCCATTCCAACAGGGCCAATGGAAATAATAGTTGGAATCACATACATGAGAAGGTGGAATTGAATAGATTCACTAAAACATACATATGAGGTCAAGGGATTAACGACAGTTGGGTGAAGAATAATAGTACGTGGATTACTAAAACTTTTGCCTACCGTTCATCGAAATATACTGGCTCAAGAATAACATTGGATGTAACTACAAGCTTTATTCTTATGTGTAGATGTTTATGAACGTAAGAAAACCAGTTAGTATTTGGTTGTTATTTTAAATCTGGATCGTTTGCACTTGCACTTTAGTCTATTTTCAAAAAGTTACAACAGTTTTGTCTCAAAGTTGACAGTTTAATAAAAAGTAACTACAGAAATTGACAGGTCTTGGCACCAGGCTTTCACCGTTTTAGAAACAAATGTATATTACTATTATTCAGTTAATGTTAGAATTGCCTAAACTTTCAACTGTAAGAGAGAAAATTCAGAAAAAATGAAGGGGAGACAACTCCCTAGACATGAAAGTTGCTTTCTGCTGTCATTAAAACCCTTTTTGACGTTAGGTTGTAAGTCATGTTTTATGAAATTTTCATGGTATCTTGCACACCCACTCCTAATATGATCAGACATGCCCAAAAAGCACGATAAAGCTAAACGCTTTTGCCTAGATTAGCTGAGATGTCTCTTGCACTAACGATGAGTGTGAATATGATAGCAGCCTTCTAAAAGCCAGAAAAAAAGTGTCATATGAATCAAAAATCATATGAATAGAGAAATGATAGTAAGTTGAGTTCACCGGAGAGTGAGACTGAAAATCATACAGTTAACCACTTTACATTCTAAACATTGGGTTAAAAATATATTCAGCATCTTCAGTCATTCAACTTCCACTACCTTTAGAAAATTATTGAAATTTACATCCCTATGGAAGCTTGAAGATGTCTCTCCATGGGATGATTTTACTGATTACAAATTTCCCGCATGAACTGAACCACCTGTAAAATACACGCTTGTCAGAACGCTTACAAATAATATGAAACAGATTACCGGTGCAATACAGCTGACTTTCTTCATTAAGTAGGTAAACAATAACCAGTAGTAATAATAATAATAATTCACTTTGTTCCAAACAATTTGTGGTGCAATTTGGAATTCTCAGCGTAATATATATTGCAATAACAACAAAATATAAGTATATACATACTACTTTGCAGCCTTTCGAATTGTTTTATTATAAAAATTTAAGTTATGTGAAGAATATTAAAAACGAGAAAATTTTGCATTGTAAGTTAAATTATTGAAATGAGATTTTTAACTGTCACAAAGTTGATGTGTGATTTCTGTTCTAACACTTTTTTCCTCACAAAATATACGTGCAAGGTAAGGTACAGTCGAATTCTTATACTTAGCTGTACGAGCATACAGTCTTATGTAGTTTCTCCTTGTCCTCCCTGAGGAGATACATGGAGAGAGCTGTAAATGAAGTGGATGCTCACTGTCAGTTAAAATTTCTGTAGCTAGTAGCTTGCAGGAATTTATATGTCGATCAACTACAGTGTTAATCAGTTGAGCCAGAGACACACCACTCACCCTGCTGACGGTCTTCAAAGCCCTACGCAACATAACATAGTCCTTTTTAAGAAGACCAGGAAAGATTAATGGGGAACAATATAGAAGAATAGGTAAAATGCAGGAATTAATAAATTGTAAAAGAAGCAGTTGAGTTATACCAGAAAGCCTCAATTTCTTTACGTAATAAGTTAAACGAAAGATTTTTTTACAAGTCAATAAAATATGGGACGACCAACAAAGGTCAGAAGTAAAAAGCAACCCAAGATAGTTCACACTCGATTTACTTTCTGCAGAAATACCATTGATGCAGCAGGCGTCATGAGATTTAAGCAGCTCACATAAGTCTTGTTTACGCCTGAGGCTAAAATTAACGGTCTGACATTTAGAGGGGTTTAGTTTGAGACCATTTGAGAGAGACCATTTACCAACTTCAGACAAGAATTCATTTAATTTCGAGCAATCCAAAGAAGAGTTTACTGGAATAGAAATCGTCAGGTCGTCAGCATACTTGATAAAATTAGTTTCAACAGAATAAGGCAAATCGTGCAAAAAAAGGAAAACAGAAAAGGAGAAAGTACAGCACCTTGAGGCACACCAGCTTCAGTAAGCAATGAAGTGGAGCGCATCCTTTATGAATAGTGTACTGTTTCCTTTCAGAAAAATAAGAATGCAGCCATTTTGTAACCCATGGATCAGTGTGAGCTATGGCAAGCTTATTTAACAAAAGTGGTCTAGGAACAGAGTCAAAGGCTGATGAGTAATCCAAAAAGGCACAACGGACATACTTAACACCTTTGTCGAGACTAGAAACAATATTATGATGCAAGACAGTAGCTGCATCTAAAGTACTCCTCCGGTGTTTGTAAGCAAACTGTTTTGGATCTCTGAAGGCCATCAATGAAGGCTCAATCACAAGCAGAAGTAATTTCTCCATTGTCTTCAGAAAAGGGGAAGTTATAGCGATGGGTCGAAAAGTAACATCTGATCCAGAAGATGGCTTAGGCACAGGTACAATTTTTATCTGCTTCCAAGCAGTGGGTATTATGTTTTTAGAGAACGATACATTGAAGATATCTGTAAGTGGATGACACAAAATATCTGCACATTTTCTAAATATGATACTAGAAACACCATCAGGACCTAAGCTTTGGGAGGGATTCAAAGACTTTAGACATTTAAATACATCATTTGTATTGAAACCTGGAAAGCAGCTATCCACTTGATTTTGCACATTAGGAAGGGTGAAATTAGCTTGCCGACGTATAAATGACTTGTTTAACGCACAGACATCCGAACGAGTTTGTGTTGTCATCTGTTTTTTACCAGTAAGCTCTTTAAATAATTTCCATATATTGGAAGAGTTCTTACACGATAAGAACTTCTCGTTGTGTATAGTATTCAGACGTTGTATTTCAGACTTAATTAAGCAGTTAAGCCTTTTAACGCCAGGGTGATCTCTCGCCTTATACAACCTTTCCTTTTCTCTCCGAAGCCTCTTGAGATGAGGAGAGGAAAGTCTGTCAAATCTCATGTAAATTGTTTCAGTAGGGTAGCAGATATCGAGACAGAATCTGAGATAGCTTGTGATATTGGTAATAATGTTGTCTCAAACTTCATCGGCAAATATATCCCAGTCCGTTTCTATAAGCATGCTTCTCAAACGTAATATATTTTCTTGTGAAAAGATTCTTAGTAATATTACTAAGTACCTATTATACTTAGTGACAAATCCAAGTTAAACATACTCCTGGGTGTATATCGTTATGGTGAAAAATAAAAATGCTAACAAAATTGTGCCCTGACACTTAAATGCTCATTTTCATGAGTAGCTTGTTTTATACGGTCAATCAGGTACATATATTTTCCATATCTGTAACACTATAAACTCAGCACCAGACTAAACGAATCTACTTGATTGAAAATCACTTTACATATCCAAGGCATTTATATTTCTCACAGTTTAATATCAGTTAGCTATGTGGTTGTGTGAAAAAAAGGACGAATCTAAACAAAGTGTTTTAAAGAATGTTTGGATTTGATTACTTATACTTGGTGGTGCAATAATTTCGTAGCTGTATTGAGATGTGTACGCAACACATCATTCAGATGGCATCCTTTGAAACAGTATGTTGCTTTTCAAACGACAGTCGTCATCTTCAAACAACAATTTCCGGTCATCTGCTAAGTGAAATTGTGGATGAACTTGGTTGAATTGTGTTCTGTGATTTAAGTTCTTTAACTATGGAGCTTTCATCGTCTTTCTGGACGACATCATATGCACTAACTTCAGTATGAAGCCAGTTGTCACTATCTCTCGGTGAATGATTCAGTAACTTGTCCTGACAAACTGGTTTGTGATTGGGTGTTTTCATTGATTGCTGTGTCATTGACGGAATACATTTTCTTGTTTGCCTTTCCTCTGCTTCACCTCTGACCTTTCTATCGTTTATCATCTTTCGTTCTGCTTAATAGATCGGGTCTATATCTATACATCTATTGATTACTGGTTGACCTGAATGTCGAGCTTCTAGGAATTCTCTGATATACTTTGTTTCTTCTTTTCAAGATTTCTACGTTGTCAAAATTGAATTCATGTCCATATTTATCCATGTGCAGTGAAATGAGTGATGAAATGTCATGACATTTAGTGCCCAGTCGGTGTTTATGTTAACGAAGGCGAAGGGGGAGACCAATATGTTCAATGTAGTTTTGATCACAGTCATTCCAGTTGATTTTGTAAATGATGTTCGGTTTGTCTTCTTTGGTTGTCGCCTCCTTTGGTTCGCATAATATTGTTTGAAAAGAAAGTGGTTGGTCTTTGAGCCACACCAGTCTCAGTAATCTTGTCATCATCTCTGATATATCTTTTATGTAGGGTAGGCTGGTCTTTTGGTTTATTTCTGTCGATGACTTTATTGATGACACTGATGATAAAGTTTCGTGGGTAGCCGTTCTTCTTTAGGATAAACATCAAGCAATTTTCTTCATTTCTCCGGGAAGTCGTTGTACTGCAGTGTGTCCTTGCTCTTCTTAATGAAGTCTGCAAGCAACTAATTTTGTGCGTTATTGGGTTATGCTACTGTAGTTGAGGATTTGATCAGTGCATGTTGGCTTCGTGTACACTTAGGTGTCCAGCTTTCCGCCATCTGCTCTACAGATTAAAGCATCCAGGAATGGAAGATGGTTGTTCGACTCCTTCTCCATTATGAATTTGATGTCATTGAAAACGTTGTTGATCGAACTGTGAGTGTTTTCTATATCACCTTTTTCACCGATGACAAAAGTATCGTCTATATAGCGGATTTAAATTTTTGGTTTGACCACAGGTAGAATGATGGCTTCCAGTCTCTGCATCACTGCTTCTGAAGTTAGTCCGGATATTGGTGATCCTATTGGGGTTCCTTTCATTTGTTTGTATATCTTGCCGTTGAATCGGAAGTGTGTTGTCAGACAAAGACCAATGAGTTTCATCAGACTTGAACATTTAGGTTATGTGTGTTCTGAAAGCCATGTGTCTTCAGTGGGCAGGAAGCACATAGTTTATGAGGCCAGTTGTGGTTCGATTGATGCGTATGATACTGTGACATAGAAGGACACCACTAATTCATCGTTTTCTCTATTAATGCTTTGGATCTCTTCTAAGAATTCTGTGGGCGTTTTGACGGCATTTCTGCATGATTTAATAAGGTATTTCATGACCTGTCATTGAAAACGAAGACTACACCAAGAAGGCAGAAGATTTACTCAAAGATGAAAATGTGTATCAACTGCTTGAAACCAACCCTTTTGGATAGTGGCTAGAGAAATCATTCATTTCCTCAAGATCACAGATAAACCCTGCCAAGTGGAAATAAATATGAAACTAGGCCAGAGCAAACTTCTGGTTGACCAGTTTCCAACATCAAGTAAATCCACTGAAAAATTCTTCCTACAAGTATTCTTCAAAAGGGAACTGTTAAACAGCTGTTTATTACTGATTTATCTTTTTACATAAACAAGTTCTATCACTTTTTACTTTAAAAAAAGAACTATTAATCTGCTATCAGACCGCAATGGGATGATTTAAATGATAAAAATCTAACGTTGCATTGTGTACTTAACCTTTTCATGTTACTTACCGACAAATAAATGGACATCGAAGTTCCAGCATTATTTGTCTTTCTGAACAAATGTGTTCCTGTTGACGCGTATGTACAATATGTTGTTTTTTCATTCTTTTCAATGCAAATGTTTTACTTCTGTCTTTCTTCCAAACAACCTTTATACACAAAAGAAGAGAATTGATTCGGAAAATAAAGCAGTGAATTCTTGTGATAATGATACAGCTTTTAATGTGCAGGATTGTGTTAACTTGACACTAGTTATATTAAAATATTCATACCATTTATAGTTGATTAGCTTTATGGTTGAAGTTGTTTCCTGAGAACTCTCTTGCCTTTGATAACTATAATTTTAAACTTTGAAATAACTTTCAGGTTTACTCTTAAACAAGTGTCTACAATTGAACACTGAAATTAGTGAAACTACTGAACACTGTGACAAATTTAATGAAAGGGTAAACAGATAGCTTTTAAATGACTGGTCAAGAATAGGATGCGGTTGATTACAAGTGATCGACCAGAGAACCATTTGATATCTGTCACATTCGAAGTTTATAGCTGTTCAATTCCGCATATTTATTCATTGTGCATGGTCAGTTGGATTATCTCTGTGTACGCAAACTGTATCAACTATTTCTCTTATTCGGGAAGGAGTTTGTGTTAAGAGTCATCAACTGATTCTTCAAAGCTGTTTATTCACCCTTAATTCTTGGTCATCATACTTAAATACTGCCGCTTGTTGTGATGATGAGCTGTATGTCAAGTCAGGAATGTGAGGTAGGTCATTTTATTTCCCTGGTATGTGATGAAATAAGTTTTTCTGAAGTCTGTTTTATGCATAATCATGCACTGACTATAAGTATCCATTACAGTTTTCAGATTAAGATTTTTCTTTGAAAACACTTCTTTTGAGACTGGGAAGCTTTAGGACTCGGTTCAAACGTTAAAAAGCTGAAGATATAAGTCATTTGATAAAGGTTACGGGAAGGATTGATGTTGAAGCATGAATTTGAGTTTCGGGAGGATTTAAAAAAGAGGTCGTTGGGTTATCCAACCAGTCACTTCATTGACTAATAAACGCTTCGAAGTGTCACACTGAAATGCACGCGAATGCATATTTCAGCTAACAATATTTTAAGTCAGTATGCAGTGCTGTATACAATCTTCTGGAAAAAAAACTCTAGTTTAAAGTTTGTCCGTAAATACATGTAACAGAAAAATGCATGGCTTCTTGGAGATTTCCGGCTTATTTGATTAGCAATAGGTAGGGGGAAGAGGGATTTATACGATTTTCAGTAACATGCCATGCTACGATTATTTTAAATAAATATACCTTTATGGAAAAGAAAACGAAATCACCTATATTGTCTACAAACTAACTATCCTGCTTTACAAATAAAGACTGTCATGTGAAAACGTTTAGTGAAATGAGATATCACTCTATGCAGTTTATGACTTAGCAAGCGATAATCTAATCCCGATTTTGTAGTTCACTAATAGAATAGATCTATCCTATCAGTAACCTGGCGTATAAAACTGTATAGCTTGAAGCGTAGGATACTAGGTTCAAGTTTTACTGAGAGCAAAATCATTCCCTGGGATATAGGTATGAGCCCCAAATAGGGTGTAACAGGCGTAGTGAGTCCTAGTAGTAATCACTATCCGTCCCTTATGATGTGAGCGTCAATAACTAGCTGTAGATTAGGAGATCAATAAAGATGAGGCCAGAACCTTAGCTTGTTAATCATGCTTCAACATGATTCGGCTTACACTAAACTCTGAAATACCTAATTCACGCATTCGTTAATATACATCAAAAATAACCTGTGTTGCGATTATTTAAACAAAACTGCCCATTTACTATATATGGTCTTCTGTTCAGCCACTACCACAACTGTCATCTTTCGATACCCTAAAGATACTCCGGTACAGAATGAATAAATATGCATCATTATTTATGATCGCTTGAAAAAACTATGCAACCTTTAACCTGATTAGCAACTTTCCCCGACTCCAATACGGTCGAACTGTAAACTGAAATGTATTCCATATACTTTAATATACTTCACCGGAATAACACAAGTAAAATGCACCTCATATGGTGAAATATACTCCTTCTTACGAAATTTACTACTGATTGATATGAATGGCTGTAGACTATTTATAATGATTAGTAATATTACATACCCTTATCACAGTTATGCGCGTTGGGGCCAGAACTGACAAAGTATGTGCGAATATTAAACAAATTTAATAGAAGAGTAAAGTAATCATCCAGTTTACACTTCATAAAGCCGCCATAGCTCATTTTAGTCACTGACATATTTCTTACTCCTACTATCCTAACAATCTTGACAATGCTTTCCATCGTTGAGAAAATCACATATTTGGATCTGAATATTTTGATTTACGAAGAAACTAGCGTTGAAATTTCACAACTGAGTTTTGTCTAGTTGTGTAAATATCACCATGAACTGCGAATTTTGCAAATACCTTTTCTGATATTCCTGTTTAATAAACCGTTACTCGTGTAACTTTATAGGCGAATAGATTACTTACCAGCTCTACACAACCAAATCCACCAACACCTAGAACTGTAACTGGTTCCAGATCAGCCTTTTCAATTTCAACCGAAGAAAGTGAATCCTTTGACTGCTGACGTACGGCAGCCTGTGCTTCTTTCTCTAAAGATTCTCTTGATAATTGGTAACTTGGTGATATAGTTCTACATTAACAAGATATAAACGAAATCAGATATTTCTGCTGTATGCTATTGTGAAAAATGAATAAATGAATACAGACAGATAGACACAAACAGAAACCGTAATAAACAAGTGAATGCTGATTATTACAGAAAACTCCTACATAACTGTCATGTAAATATTACATGGAATAATTTTATGTCCTGCTCAAACTAGTGTACTAAATTATTTAGATGAAAACACAAATAACGAAGCCATAGCAACAAATCAAATCCAAGATTAAAAGTTTATATTAGCACCATAGCATACGAAGGTTGAGAAATAAATCTCATTAGCCATTACTAATAATAGTATAAATGCGGCTAGAACACAGTTTAATGACGGTAAGAGATACGAGTTGCTTAATTACTCCTCATCATAGTATGCTAAATGTGCTACCAAGTTGCTAAAAACCCTTTGAGCTAGATTTCATTTTTATTAAACATTGGTCATCAACAATAAGATGTATCAGAAACCTCTAAAAAGCTCGTTTTTAGAATAAAAACTAGATTTTAAATACCGAAATAATAATAGTTTAACCAAAACTAAATTCATGGATGTTCAGCTTACTCAAAAACGTCCACCACAGCTACTTGAAACTGTCTGATTACTTTATGTACTGTGACTATATATCATAAGTGAGACTGAATTTCTGTAGCATAAAACCTGACACTTTTCTGTATCTCACGTAGTTTGATAGAATAACCAGTGATAAAATGCTATAGTATGGTAAACAAAATATGAGACTTTTCGTGCAACAGTAAATGCGAAGATTACTTTGTTTACATTTCAATCTTTGTAGTTTAGTTTTGGTTGTATTGTGTTCTCTGAGCTGGGTTGTTTAATCGTGAAGCTTTCATCGTCTTTCTAGACGACATCATCAGCACTAACTTCACTATGAAGTTTAGTATTTAGGAATGTAATGAAGAAAAGTTGTTTAGGTTGGATTTACGCTCACCGTTTGACTTGCAAGCAGTGATTAACCAGTGCCCAATATCAGGAAACGTGGCTAAAAATCATATGCATGTTCGAATTCTCTTTATTAAACTTCGAATAGCAAATGTCCTATTTACTCCTACTTTTAATATATCCAGCTTTTGAAGTAGTGGTAGTGGTAGTAAAAGTACATAAAACCAAAAACATGTAGAAACGTCTCCTGTTCATGACACCTCTGATCTACATGGTTCAGTCTTGATCAACATAACAAACAGGACACAAACCATCCTTTTCAATTGCGAACCCTCATGTTAATCACATAAATTTACTTCTAGTGAGTATGTACTCATTTTCTCTTCTCTTCGGTCTTAAAATTTACTTCGAATTAGAAAGAAATGTTACAAAGAAATGAAACTGTCATATCCGACAAGATGCATTAGGTAGATGGGCAGTGAGACAGTGACAGTATGAGTGGTAAAGTGGACCTGAAAGTTGAACTAAAATCTCTTTAGTGGAATTAAATTTTGAAAAAATGAGTTCCACTTAAACACTGCAAGCCCTAATCAGTCAGATGCATGTGGAGTGGAAAACTTGTATTGTAAGACTGACTTTCTGTACCTTCATCAACCATTGGTTAAGTCGGAAACAAGGGAAACGTATGCACAGTTCCTAGTTAACTGTTAATTCGTTAACTTTATCTTTTGATCGTTATGCAGGCTGTTCATTTATGCATATCATTCAAAAATATACCAGAACATTTTCAAATCTTACTCCATCAGACTCTGCTCGTTTGCATGCAGAAAGTAATGACCGAAAATTTATTGACATTCAACGACAATCGCTTTACAAACACTTAGGTAAGTGCCATTAACTGAAATTGAGATTTCCAGCATACTTCTCTTTCATGCGATTATGATTTTATAAATTTCAAGGACAAATTTGTGTGTATGAACATACCTTTGTATCTCAAATAATAAAACTCAAAATTTTATCACAAGAGGATTTACAAAGGTGTACTGTTAAGGTGCCCAAGATTACAAGAAAACGCGCAAATACAAACGTAAATGTTGTGAGTTGGATAACATGTGTGTAGTGTGGTGACCTTGGCAAAATTAGTTTAACGAATTCATTAAAAGACTATACACATAAGTGAAACAGAATTCATGAATATGTCAGTCAGTCAATATCAACCTGAGATTTAGCATTCCTGCATAAGGGTCCAAGTGTCTATGCCTCATATCAACACATGAAAACATCAGACAATAAGGCGGAAGATAGAGAAATTCATCAAAACGTAATAGTACGCCATGCGAAAAGAAGTGGGGAAAGACAAGTAGCAAAATAAGCTATAGAGATCAGAAGCCTTACTGCCTGAAGTTTCCAACTACTAACTTCCGTTGTCATGCCCATTCCAACCGGAAAATCTACACTTCTCTACACAACTCAGATCAACGACTAGAAACTTCGTGCACTGATGGGATTCTTTAGTCTGGTTGATCTTAACCTTTTTCCAGGGCGAACACACCTTAGTTAACATAGTATGACTGAGTAGTCGGTGACTACGCATACGTTACAAATGATATCCCAGACATCGGAGTCAATGAAGCTTCACAACCTATTCAACTGACCTACATCTTATCTAATACTTTTAACCTTACCTCTACATTACTAGTGTTGTGGATGCATCATGTATGACCGGTGCTATGAAGGTAACGATAGTCAAAAACTGAGACTTCATAGTAGAACATAAGGAACTGATACGTAGTAGGCAGCAGGATATCATACAGGCGTGATCTATGGCATAGGCTAGCAAAAGTGGAGCGAACTTTTTCTATGCACACGGAGGTATGATTGGTCATTGATCCACCCACGCTAACAGATTTCTCCCGCAAATGAAGTGATCAGCACGTTCAAATACTTTACTTTCTACTATAAAAAGCAAAACAAACGTAGATCAAACCTGGAACAGTAGTTTGCATTTAGTTATAGAAATGCATCCCAAACATACTCAAGTTACCAGTCAATGTCTACAGACGATATGCATTTCCACAGTGTCTTCATCTTACAGGACTATGTTTCCTACGCATTCCAGGTCTACCAAGGAGAATCCTGTGATACATTCAATATCCATATAGGTAGGAGCAGAGATGGAAACCTCTACAAACATGTTCATGTGAAAGTTGAATTAGAAGGAGAGAGTGGTCAGCCTGGACAGACATGACTCGATGTACACAACTCATCTAATAGGTCATCATACACTCTAAGACACTCACCGGTGTTTGAACTTAAGCCCTCAGTAGAGTGATTTACCATCCCGTCTCTCTTTCCAGTGAGAGACACTGTAGTAAAACTTCTCAATCTACTGAGTCTAATGCATCCATCAAATCATGTGATTCACCTAGCCTACTTCTGTGCTCCAAGACCTAGTGGAGGTTGAAAATCTAATCGATACATTCGTAACCAGATCCAAAGCGTGGCTAGTTTTATCGGATTTTCTGCTAGTGAACCTAGGATGCGTCTTTGACGATTATCGAACATATGATCTTAAACATTACTTTCGTCAGACGCTTCTGCGTTTATGAAAGGAGAAAATCTCGACTTTCTGGTAAATTAGGACCATCACTGATTCAGCCTAATCACATATCTGCCATAGGCCAGGCAACACTTCAGTCACTTTAGCTGATGATGTTTTGGCCACCATCTTTGCATCTTTCTGGTGCAACCCTTTTAGGCATTCTAAGAGTATCGGTTGGTCACTTGGTCTGTCCCTTCAAATGTTCCACCCATCTTTACAGTTGTCCACCCGATCAGCCAATAACGGAGCCACGTCTCACTGTCAAAGTCTCATTGATTACTATCTATTTCATTCGAAATTCCTTAGTAATTCTAAGTAACTGTACACTGCTGCATATAGCCAATGTCTTCCCAAGATCTTAAGCCTTCACTACCTACTACTCCTCATGGTCATTGCGTAGGCTTCTTGCCAGTCTATATTTGCGTTGTTTCCTATGTTCATTTCGTTCAGAGCCTTCAGGGTGCACTCATGTGAATCCGTTAATTTAGGAGAAACTGCTTAGACCCCCCAGTCATTCTTAACCACTCTTTGGGGATCAGTGATGCTTCTTAACGCCGTTTTTACAGCAGACTGGAGGTGGCGTCATGCTTTCTCTGGATGTCTAATTTTGTTCTGTTTCGATAACCGTCATCCAGCTTCTCACTGAAAGCAACTTTAGTATTCTCATCGTTGAACTGCTCTCGGAATTGTCTTGTAGTTGTCGTTCTCCTACTTTCATTCAAGCTCAGACCTAGGTATGCTCGAAACGACACATGAATGGTCATCAAACGCAAGTTGTAGAAGCAGTGGCAATCCTCCTTCTACCCTCCACAGTGATAAATGACATCATTATGATCTATTTGTATCCACTGCTAAAGAGGTCGCTGGACACTATGCCAGACAACTTCTATTTATATATCTAAAGCTTGAAATTAAACACCATAAATAGGTGACTTTCAAGCAGATGATCGCCGTTATCTTTTCGTTGGGCTGGGATTCCAGAAGTGACAACTAAGCACCTTTCTGTCTAGGTTGATAAACCCACTTGTGTTTTGAAAACAACAACAATAATTTCTCAGCGTTTGACTTTCAGTAGCAGTTTGGACAGTTTTCGGTAGGACTCATCCTTTACTTCACCTGAACAGAGCATAGGTGACTGCCAATTGGGATCCAGTCGGTCAGTTCACCTTCTGTCTCATCCCTTAATGCTATGCCTGCACCGGCAAGATCCCGACAAGTAGTCAATCAATCTTCACAAACTCGAAGGGTAAGTTTTTCAAATCCAGCACACTGGTCGGATGATGTTGAGTGAATAACTGCACTTAGGTTCTACATGTGTGTGTCTCAAGCACAGCACACATCCATGACCCCAGAGGCCAGAGTTCTGGTTGGCGAAGCTGGTTGGCAGAGCTGATGGAGGGTGTGGACATTGCAGGTTGCTGGCAATATGCATTTTAGATCACACTTTCAGAATGCCACGGATATTGTTCTGTGAGTATGAATCGTCATCGAGAGCCAGACAGCTAGGAGAAGTTGAAAGTGATGTAGGGATATTAAGAAACACCAGAAGATAAAGATGTGGAAAGTTTCTGGTAATCTGAAAAGACTTGAGTGTAGATAAAAATGTGAGATTGCCTGGCACTTCTCGGTTGGCCGTACCGTGAAAGACCACTTCCTCTTGATATACCTGAAAAAGAAGGTGGATCACTAAGTATTTTTTTTAACAAGGTAGGTACGTGAATTCACTGCCCAGGGAATATCTGATTTCCGTTGGTCACAAAAGTTCGTTAAGAGGTTTACGATTCTGAATTGACTATTTCGTGCGGGCTATAAAATTTTATATCATCAACATCAGAAGAACACTGGGTATACAGGAGTGTTATTTTTTAGAGACAAGTTTTGTAACTCCACCCTTCTATAAAAGAGGTTAGTATCAGCATGGAATGCCGATCATCAGCGGAAAGCAGCTTGGTGTTGTCGCATCTCATCCAGTTAGCAGTGTGACTTAGCCATCGGGTCCCCACCGAAAAGCTTTAATTGGAAAACTGGAACAAACAAGAAGACTCAAAAGAAAGGATAGTTAATGCTGATAAAATCTCTGTCTTAGGTGATGACTGGTACTTTTCATGTTGGTGTGGAAGTGAAAGTTGTTTATGTGACATTTAAGGAATCGATTCAAAACATTAAGACGGAGAGTGAAATACTGTGGTATTATTGACTAATGTGAATCCAGATATCTAAACAACCCTTTCTAGCATAAAACGGTATACTGTCTACCGTATACTTCTCTTCCAAATCATAAAATAATGATTCCATAATCAAATTTATTCTGTGTAATTGCTGATATTAGAAGAGTCATATTTGCTAAAACTTCCCTTGCAAAATCTACTGTACAGCCTTAGACTACTGTTGCTTCAATGATCCACCTATTGTGTCAGCGAACTAGTACTGCAGTCAACAAAACGTGAAAAATTCCACTCACTTCCTTTGTCTATTATGAAAACTGTTTACCCGAAATATTTCATAGCATTATTAACTTTGCAATGTATGCCGCCCCTAAATAAGAATATCCTTCAATAGGATTTGTATTAAAAACTCTGAGGAATTTGTCATTTCACTTCAGATTTATAACTGGAACACAGTCTAAATACGTCACTTACATAGCTTATTATTAAGAGAATAATGTAAAGGTGATATTTTGTTGAACAATCTCAGAAAACTATGCAACATGAAACAAATTTCTTCTTCAAAACTATGATCACTCAGTAGAGCAAATTCCTAGTCTATACGAAGTGGAAACCAGGATATCGAGATAATTTGGCGAAGTTGCCTGTGCTCACCTACTGAATCAGATTTCGTGGCGCCCAGTTTCTAGATCCCACTAACTCAATAGACAAAACAACCATCATCGACAGTCACCAGTAAGCAACTGATTATTCTTTTTATAATCAACCACAAAGGGAGTCTATATAACTAACAATGGCTAAATGAAATGTACTAAAAACAGAAAAGATGACAAAATGTAAGAAACCTGGAGTTTCTTTACAAGAAAGGGAAGGAATAAGATATAGTTTAACATAACTTTTATCCGAATATGTAAGTGGTTGTCTCTCTAAGTCAGATATCATCGTAAGGGTGATTGGTTAGGAACAGGGACAATCCAATCTGAATAATTAGCTGTGCAACACACTAGAGCAGTCTATAGATAAGCTGTTCTCTAGAATACATGTAACACGTATAAGAGATAAATCTGTTACACCTGCCACGCAGCAATCTTGTTTATTTTCACATAACAAAGAATTAATTTTAATAACGCTATGAGATTAGAAATAAAGACTTCTCAAATATAAGTATCCCTAATTAATTAATTAATTCAAGCAATACAGAAAAAATGTCGATATAAGATAGAAAACTTACCCAACAGGAGAACGACTGATATCACTGTACGTTTTTGATTTGATCTCATTCAAATCTCCAATAAGGTAGATAAAATTACTGTAAAATCAAGGAAAGAACGAAAGTTAGCAAGTATTTACATTTTTACGTTCATATTTCACATGTTACCACACTGGAGAAAAGAAATATAATCTTACACTTGTTCAGGGTATTTAGTTCTCATTTAATCTATTAACCTGATGAGGTCAGTAACTCCTGGTCCAGATTATTTGAAACTGCAGCTTCGCCATACCGCTTTCTAATGAGTCCTATTCGGTGACAGTACATCCAGCTTTGCGCTTAGATATTAAAATATAATCGACAGCATATTTTTACATCTGACACATTAAAACATGATATCTAATCAAATGGATTAACGGTTCCTTTCCACACTTGATGGTTAGACTTTGGTTAGAATTTGGGGATCCATAGTTGCACCATTTGTCATAGAAATTCACTATCTTATTTCTGAAAGTACATAACTAACCAATAGCGCAATATTCATCGGGACGCACAGGGGCCAAATAAGTCGCGTGTGAAGGCAAATACTTGCCAATAGGATTGGACGATGGTGGCATTACATGGCAGATTGACAGAAGTAATAAAAAGTATACCACTGGATTTCTACTCTGTTGTCAATTTCATAGGGTTCTCTGCAGGAACTGGCGGTCTTGGGGTCAGTCCCTGATAGGGCCGTAGGTGTGCAGTGTGCAGTGTCTCATACTAGGATAAAACCAACTATCTAGTGATCGCAGGTTTTCAGCAGTTTTGTGAATGATTTCAATCCGTTATGAATACTGTCTTGAAATCAGTCAATTCATCTCCATAAACCTCCAAAGTGATTCACTATAAAAAGTGCACACTGATAGCGGGACCCGAAAAAATGACGTGAATCAACCCACAATCACACTTGGAGAGTAGTGAGGTTTATTTCAAGTTCAGCGGTGAAAATAATTTTCAAAGGTAGCATTTCCTGAAAGAACAGCTCGCAGATGGGTAACTACGATCAAAAGCAAAGGTAAACAAAAGTTCACGAGAGTATTATTATTATTATTATTAGTCCCTTGGGTTCCTAGTGGAACATAGGGCTTCAGTAGCACGCCTCCAGTGACCTCTGTTCTCTGAGATCTTTTGAACCTGGTCCCACGACAGCCCAGAAGCTCTCATTTCCTCCTCGCACGACCTCCTCCATGTCACCCTCGGACGTCCAACTCGTCGCTTCCCATGGGGATTCCACTCGAGGGCCTGACGCGTGATGTCCTCCGTCGGCCTTCTCAGTGCATGGCCAATCCATCTCCACTTCTTCCTGCATATTTGTTGGGTGATAGGTTCTTGGTTGGTTCGTTCCCAGAGTTCCTTGTTGCTTATTTTTTCTGGCCATCTGATCTTCAGAAGCGAGCGTAAGCAGTTGTTGATGAATGTCTGTAGTTTATTGGAAATACCTTTCGTGACGCGCCAAGTCTCTGAGCCATACAAGAGCACTGACTTGACGTTGGTGTTGAAAATCCGAGAGAGAGTAGTAAACTGAATAAATCATTCTAGGAAAACAAGTATTATGAAGATGAGATTTGGTTGCACTAGCAAACAAACTGTCTGAACAACAAGTTCTAATCATTGCAAAAGGGAGCGAAACAATCGTGAAACAGAACTCAAATACAAAACCGAATAAACATCAGTTGCGCAGAAGGGATTAAAGGAATGTCAGTTTATTGAAGACGAGTAAGTGGGTGTTAGAAATGTATTAAGTAGGCAGTTTGATAAACTTTGGTATTCAACATGTTTGAGCATCAATACAAAGTGGGATTGTTACTTGGACATGAAGTATGACACAATAATTAACCGAGAAACTAATCTGTATTGCAGCTACCTGGTTCTCTTAAAATTCAGAGAACCACAGGTCAGCACCAACTTATCTTTGAAACAGTGGACCGAGGAAAGTAACGTGAATTCAGGTGTAGTCACTTGATCTTTATTAATTTCAACCAATATTGCATAAGGAAATTTTGATAACAAGATATGAAAAAGAAACAAATGGAACAAAATGAAAACCCAATTTTCTTCCACTCACCTTCTGTCCAATAAAAGTAAATGAACACCGTTTTTCGGCAGATATTACATTAGCACTTCGTCTTTCAGATCTGAAAGTATTGAAGCATCATTTAAACTTAGTGATTTTAGATACGATGGAAATAGAAATATAGTTTCAGAAACCTACAAAAAGGTTATTAAAATCACATCCATAAGCAGACTGTAAAAAAAATACACTCAAAAGACATCTTCGTTGTCTTAAGAGCAACACATCTTAAGAAAACTTAGGTGAATGCGTTAATTCGCTTAATAACCAAGGGGTAACCAAAACTGAGACATTCATCTGAGCTTAACTTGACATAAACAGCTTGGAAATTTCGATGAATACAGCGCTTGACAAGATGAATTAGAACTATCGACAGATGAGACGTTTCAATGATTGTCACCCATCCGTTAAATCCACTTTAGAGGAGGAGTTAAACTCAACGTTCCACTCTCTAGACTCAACGTTAAAGAGAAGGGATGATAGCTCGGTTCAAAGGTCAGTTTATCGAAAACCAACCTGCACACGACAGTTCACTAACTTTAATATTTGGGTACCTCTGAGGTGTAAAAGAAATCTCATTCACTCACTGTATTCCAGAATCTATGGAATATGTTCAGAAGATACGGTGGATGCTGAAATCGAAACTCTTAGAATAATACTATCTAATAACAGATACCCTAAAAGATTCACTGATAAGAATCTGAGGAAACTAACCACTCCCCATCCCATTACAGTCCCTAAGAAAATTTTAACCATGAGTCCAGAATTCAAAGGAGACACCACAGATGAAGTGCTGGAAAGCGTCCGTTAAAGTGTAGCAATAGTAGCCTTTATGTTGCTTTACTGAGATTGCCTTTCTCCAGCCGCCGTGCGATTCGACAATGAGTGAAGGCTAGGCTGACACTCATGTCCACATCTATGTGAATCTACAAGTTCACTTGCTCTTGAGGAGCTGACTCTGTTGGAAGCTGTAAGTGGGCCCTCCGAAAAACATGTTGCTGAACATTATCCAGTTTGGCTTACCAAAGGTGAGCAAGAGAAAACGACTTCATCCATATGTCAACACCTTGTTCAATTAGGTGATTCAGCACTTCGAGTTTCATCCTTCATGGTAATTTACAAAGTTAAACTGAACTACTTCAAAGGTTTGCGTTTCCACCACATATGCATAGCTGAAGCATTAGCCATACATGAATAAAAACTGAAACTTTCTATTCAAAAACGTTTTGTGAAATCACTTTCTCTACCTTGGCTTTAATAATTCACTTCGATTGTTTTTTCAATTTCATTTCACTTCACTTTGGTATACTTCCCTTTCATTTTCATCATTATCACCATTTTTCACTTCATTGACAACATTTAACCCATATTTCACTATTTTATATCAATTCATTCCTTATTCATTGACCCATTTCCTATTTCTTAGACTTGAAACAATCCCACTACCAACACGAAGTATATATTTTGCATATTGACTGAGAAACTTTTTAATGCAGTTATGTGTCATTTTACCGAATATAAATATGACTGTACAGCTTGATAATGAAGTCGTTGAAAAGAAATATTTCTTCACTAATACATGTCTTTTTCTTATTCAAGAACAATTATATTTTGAAATTCAATGACTACTACAGTACAATAAAGAAAAGGGCCAGACAGCTAATTAGTGAGCATTATTTGTTTATTTTCATCCGAGTTCTCCAGTCAGTCAAACATCTCAAATTATTCTCAATTGAAAATCCCTATCTAGAACATGCACAATAACTCCTGTTTTTAACGAGATGAGATACGTATAACACTGAGCCCGTAATGTACAACTGTTATTCATGATTACAAGAAACATACTCCGTTTCGGAAAAAGCATGTTTCATTCTCTTTAGTACCGAAATATTGTCTGTGAAAAATGATGGCTTCAAATCACATGCCACAAGTAGGGACTTCAGTACATTAAAAAAAGTATTCTTATTCAAAGTTGCATTTAAAGTATTAAAAACATGTGCACAATACTCGTAGGTTATAATAGTGACAACAGTGAAGTGTGGCAAGTTGAAACAATGTACTTCTGTGCAGGGTTCTAAATTGATTTTGTCTACCTGTATATTTTTTGACAGTTGCAGCAGCCAACCACAACAGTTTAAGCACTTATTTTGTGGAACGAGAATGTATATGACAGTCGAAGGATTTTGATTTACGGCAATACAACTGTGATTCATTGACAATAAACTGTAGATTTCAGGCGAGTGTTCTGAGCTTAAAAAAGAATTTAAAGTGGAACTGATGATAAGTTTCATTCCTACCAGACTACTAAGTTCATGAGCAGGAGTTTAAAGCTGAGTGCCCCGTTGTCTATTCAACCTGTAGTAATAACTTCAGCAAAGACTTTACATGGTGTTTAGCACCTATCAATTTGTGCAGCACTTCTTGCAATTCCGCTTTCCATTCACTTCATTACTTTCACCTATGAATATACCTGAGTTGGCAAGCGTGTAAAACAAACCTATACCTTATTTATATAACATCAGACACCAGTAAATCGTCTTTTTGCAATAAGTGAGACTAATTATCTTGAACAGTACCTTCGAAAGGAAACAAAATGTGTATGATGGTTTTCATGCATCTGTGGTTGACCGACTGACTTACAGTGCAGGATATTTGCTTTCACAAAACTTGTATATGGTGTTTCCCGGATTACTGAAATTTGACTTAAACGGAACTTAAGCAGAAATACAAGCGGTTAAGCAAAATGATCCTTTCTCATAATTCATACATTAGGTTAAGACTTGTTTGTCACCGCAAACATATGTACTAATGCTTCAGGATCTTTTCACCATCTAAAACAATGATATGCAACTGGTTTCAACACAGAAATGTGCCGTATTTCAATACGAAGCCCTTAGTGTCCGAAGCAGCGGTAACAGCCTTTTTTATGGTTCAAATTACCTAGAGCAACACACTATGTCGATTGTTGTTCCGACCCTTATGATTGAGAAACATATTTTCAGCATACAGGATGACCATGCACCTCTTAATTAAGCTAGCGAATGAATACAACTAGCAATTATCCCCGCAACTAAATTATTTTTAAATTTATTGGGCGTTTTCGTGGAGTGGTTGTCTGATTTCAAAGTGGTCATCATGGGAAAACACTAGCTAAAAGAACTATTGAAAACCATAGAGAAGTGTACAGTTGTTGCACGGTAATTTGACGCTTCACTGCTGTATGCACCTACGACCCCACTTGAGTTAGAAGCCAGGAATACTGGGTTTTACAGTGAGCAGATTGTTTCTGAGCAACAGAGTGTGTACTGCTGAGACGTCTCAAGCCTGAATGAAACAACTGTTCGGTGTTCCCTGGTTTCCAGTGGTTCTCTAATTGATATCGATCTGTGATGAATGCTGTGAAGGAAATTGTTTTTCTTCCAGTAACCGCATTGCTTCTGAATAAAGGTACATACTTAGTTTCTTTCGATTCCAAAAGGTTATTTTTTTCGTAAAGGTTTCTTTCAAAAACTCACGTGTAAAGTGCTCTTTCTCCAAACCAATCTCCATCAGAAAGTTGACGTATTTCCTGTACCTCATCAGCTCCTTCAACGGTTTGAGTAACACGTACCTTCACAGACAGGGATAACAAGAGCAATTTAAAAGATGTACCTAGAGGCCATTAAAGAAACCTTTATAATTGCAGTATTTCACGCGAAGTGGAACGTTTGGTCTCTATTAAATAAAACAAACTAGAAACAAGTATTTAGCACTATACAATTATACCGGCTTTTCAAATTGAAACTTCTTGCATTATTTTCAATGATTTAGCTTTAAATTGGTCAGTTTATCAAATGAGAGCGTGTCTAGCGGAACTGGTGACAGTTATCATTTCATTAGGCTGTTGAAACAAAGTTACTATCAAGGTATCCACAATTCAGGTAATTGCATCAGCAAATTGTTTCCGCTGCCACCATACACTATACTCAGAAAAAAACCTTCTATAGTTTTGAAAAGTACTCTGAGGAATTTCGCTGCTCACAGATAGCTTGCACAAACTTATAAACCTAATCTTGTAGAAAAAGCTTGTTTTCAAATAATTGTGAACATGTGACACCACATAAATCTGTTTATAAGTTTCATTCTATCCTACACACTTACTTTGAATCCATTCACAATCTCAATGATTTTGTCAAGCATTATACTGTTTAATCTTTCACAAAGTAGTAGTTGTTGTTATATTAGTTCCCTATGCTTTAATCCTAAACAATACCTGTCAATCAACCTTCACTAAAGAAACAAAGAGCTATTTACTTCAATATCAGAGTGTAAACTCAAAAGCAAGATAAGTCTATTTTCTCATGAAACCAAGTCAACCAAATAAGTAACAAAACGGTACAACATGACTGATGAACTTTGACTGATGCTGATACCGAAAAAAATTATTTGTATTACTATCGTACGATAAAAGTGAAGATAACTTGTCTAGTTTACCTAATGGATGGGGAAAAAATATGATTATTTGTTATTTCGTCTAAATATTCAATCTTTCATATGAGTTACCAGTATTGCGTATTAGTAATGAGGACAGTAGTGAAATCCACAATTCCAAACAACAGATAAGCACTGCTTTAGGGGCAGCTAAAAGGAGTCAGTCACCTTGTCGATGACATTCTAGAGTTTGAAGCTGTAGGTTGACAATTTAAATTCCCAGTGAAAATAGTGTCACATTGGGATGCAAATATATATATATATCAATCTAATAAATTGCAAAAATAGGACAAAATTTATACACTGTGATCCACCATGAAACATATAACACATAATATCCTCTTTAATCAACTGGAAACCTTTTTTCTAAACTCTGACTAAATAAAACATGACGAGTTATGCATTGAATGCACTTCATTCTCATACAGAATATCAGTTCTACTGGTGTATTTGCAATACTAGTAAGAAGACAGTAAAAGATCTTCCACAGTTTTCAACTTTAACATAAGATGAAGAAAAGATGGAAAAAACAATCTAGAATAAAGTAAATGGACCGGGTAATAAATTAACAGTAAGATTTTGGCTTGTATGAGTTAAATCTGCGGCTTGCATTTATTTAGCCCTTAGAAATGTCGAACCCAGCAAAACAATAAAAACGAACAAGTCAGTCATAGGAAATGATGATTTTTAAAGTTTTATAACAGTATATGACAGAAAGCAAAGTAAACGGATTTAATACCTTACCCTTGACAAGATGCTAAGTTATATTCTCAATAGTTTCAAAGAAGATGAGAAATCAAATAGAATAGGTAAAATTATTAGGAAAGCACACTGTCTGTTAATTGGAATAGTTAACTATCAACAAGCAGATGTATCAACTGAACTGTTCTTCCTAACTTAAGTACATATATTGTAACAACTGCATAGGGGTGGATCTGTAAGAAGAAACTCTGCATGATTGTCCTATTTTCTGAAGGATTTCTGGTTGGAAGGATGTATAGCTTCCAAAGCATCATCAGATACCTTGCAAAAAAAGACGAATAAAGAAGGCATACATAATGCGTTCGAAACACTATTCAGTCGCTTTCCAGTTTCTTTTTCAGGTCTATTTTTGACTTTCCAATTGCTTACTTTTTTCGCTGTGCATTATCAACGTTTGACGTTTATTTTTTTTATCATTAAACGTAAGTAAATTTTTTGAACTTGTTGAGTCGTCAGCTCACGTGCTTGTCTTCTTCATTCCCCTTTCAGATTCTAGCACTGACTGAGTAAATTGCTACTGTCAAGCTTACAGACGCTGTTTTACTCGTCTTCTCAGCACGTTAAAAGAAAATCCCCTAAAACTTGGCTGTCATACACAAACCTTCGGCTTTCTAATAAAAATATGAGGAGCCTAATGTCTAGTTCACTTTGCAATAAAGCGTTTTTACCTCACCAATCCATGTACAGAGAAATGATTACTGATCTTGTGACTTTTGAGTTGCTATATTTACACGCTTTTATATACCCGTTGGCCTAATTGAAACGGCTTACCACCCAAACTTCATTCAAACTAATATCTGTTTTGACTTGATAGGGTCTACTGCTGATGAATGGTAGGTGGGATAAAAGCACTTCATCTTTTCCCATGAAAAGCAGTATCCTCAGCTTATTCAGTCTTATTATAACCAAAGATTACTTATCCTAAAGCAAGAGTGAAACTTTAGTACTGCAGTGGGGTGTAACTCCATACAACTGCATTTGACATGGTATACATTGGTACAGTATTAGTGACTGGATGACGTTTCGAGCAGAAAGTATTTCTCACAATAATAACAAGGTAACTATACAGCTTTCAGATCTAATCATAAAGTTCACTAGCTCTTCAGTCTTTGAAAACTTCGCAGTTACATTGTATGCTATACTGAACACACAATCTAATATGGAATTAGCTCTCCAAAGCATAATAAGGAATAAATGATTCATCAGATTACTTTAGCTGGTGCCATTTCAGGAAGCTAGATCTTCCGATTTGAAACTTGTTTACTTTCAGCTTTAACTACTATTATTGCATTTGAAAAGCAAACTGATAAATAATTACCTGCAGCGTTGGATTTGGATTCCATAGTAGAGGCGTGAATGTGCACCACTGAGGAGTCATATACCAGTGCTCTCAGTCTGCGGTGACTGCTAACTTCATTAAGAATAGTTCACTACAGATCTTTTCAAAGGTAGGAAATCCTCCATTTCTGTCATAAAACAACACGATGTGCATAAAACTTACATGTCTAAAAGTACGCAAATCATTTCAGTAGTGCTGTTCAACTTTCCTTAGGTATTGCTTGAAATCACATTAAGCTAGATTATTCGATTTAATGTTCTGGAAATCATTTGGAACCTTATATTTTTATCTGTTGCGATACAATGGAAACTGATGTTGTCAACTTGAACAATAGACATTTAGATCAGCATGTGAATATATCTTAATCAAATGTAACTGCACTGTAATTTCAGTGGTGAAAGAATGCGATGAGACTAAACCTACATTTTATCTAGCCATATCCTCTCAAGTACAAAATTGACCGATGCTTATACACTGTTCACACTTACATAGGGTCAGTCTTGGCCTGAATAACCTACTTTTTAAAGTTGTTACTAAAGTACTCCTTGATACAGACTCGAATAACTATGGGAATAAAAATTTCCTCATGGTAGTGGATCCCTCTTGCTGGTGAGCATCAAAAGCAGAAAACCTAGGTCAAACAGAACTTTCTCTTGACCCGCTCCTAATATTTAACTCACACTTTTTAAAGATACTAATATAACAATTGTCATATGATGGAAGCTTGTCAATGGCTAGGATTTCTGCTAGAAAGGTGATCTGTAAACTAACAGTTAATTGTAGTATAAAAACAGAGCTTAAGTAAAAGGACTGCACTCGAATAATGTACACATAATACTTGAAAATAAGGGTATCTGTGCACCTACCTTTCCAGATTTAATCATGAAAAATGTTTCACCAAGCTCCCCTTCACGTATAATGTATTCACCAGCTTCATAAAATACCTAACAGAAATTAAATACAAATGAAGGTCGACAAGTGTGGGAATGTGAAATCGAAAAATTATGTATTGAATCAAACATTATTTTCCTATTAAACAATGGAATAATTCCAATTTTACGCAGTATCTAGTAAGTGAAATTATGTTCCTTGAATAAACAATTACACTTATGTTTATGAACAGCGTGGAAGTAATTAGCGTAATTTTAAATACTCGACTGAGACATAATAAAAAGGAGTAGTCCTTTGCCCTTTAAGTAACAAAATCATATGCTGACTAATTTAACGAGTTTATAAAGAGTCATAACTTGTATAAAACAACGAATGGTGCATCAAATGCAGTTTTTTAAGTGTACTCAATAACAGAACTCAACTGGATTATCTGAAAATACTGAAAACGTTATGCGTTTTCCAAGATTCCAACTTCATATGCTCATTCTAAAGATGAAACGCATCATTGTGTAAACATTTAATGCAAGACTGACTGGTTGCATCCATAACAAACTTCCAATTGAAATCTTTCACTACTGAACAGTTTGTGAGTCAAGGCATAAAATGTGCTTATACTCTTAGTAAGTTGATGTCCACATGTTCATATTGTTAACTGGTATCCTGCCTCCTCTTCACTGCGAATGTACTTCAACATTTGTTACTCAGTCAGATAAATTAATTTCTGAGAATGTCAAAGACAAACTGTTCTGTTTCATTATTCTTCTCTAATCCTGGTTAATTAAGCACTCCCTATTTTTGGTGACCAATTAATGATGAATTACCGCTGTCTCGTGTACATTATAACTGTTATTACTGCAGATAAGTAGACGTTGAATAGGTCTATTCTTAACATATTTCTTTTGGCTTCATGTCATTGTAATGTGAAGTTTAATACTATATTGAATGCTTCAATGAAAAATTGCATTTAAAAAAAGTTGATTGACTACATTGCTAAGATTGAAAAAACATCTGATTAGAGAAATGTGATGTCTTTAGGAGTCAAACTTTATCTCAGTGATTCATGAAGTAATTACCCATCTTTGAGAAGAACGGATACAACTTTTCAAGAGGCCTAAGCTATGACAGTAGATGTTGCTTAAATAGTCCAAACAAACTAAAGAGTTGGGAAAAAAAATAAAATTTATTGCTGTTTTCGGAGGGATGGAAAAACTACATCATAATTACGAGAATATAAAACACCACTAGGTATTTATAACTTTTACATTCCGATCGGTGTAATCACGCTTTTGAGGCACACCAATGGTTGTAAAATAGAACACAGGTTTCGATCAGTGCTGAGAACTGAGGTTATCACTCGGTGACTAAATTATTCACAGTTTACACTTCTCATTTGAAGAAATAAAACTGTCCAGATGTCAATATTTGTCAATATCACTGGAGAAGGAGGTCAACTAGTACCTGTTTCCAGACAGCAGTTATACTTATGCGATAATCAACACATCTTTACCCACTGAGTTCTCAGTATTCCTTAATAGCTCTTGAGTCACTACTGTTTATAGATCGAATAACGTTGAATAAGAGCGATAGCTCTTTGCAGCTAAATTAAGGTTCTCTGAACTGATTGATCTAACGGGAAAGCGTTCCTTTGCAATCTAAGAAAACGTCATAAGTGCAAACTTCAAAAAAACGTCAGCTTGTAGAATCTCTATGTGGGTAGCAAATACATCTTTCCTGAAGACCTTGACTGCCCCTGATTGGTGTAAGAGGATATTTCATCATTATGTATTACTCTATGCCTAGTGAACACTCCATTAACTTGATGTGACAGGTGGTTGCAACTCTTTTCTACCACTGATATAATAATTCTGTGTCAGTGCATTTATTGGTTGCAGATATGCCTGAATTGTGCTAGCAATATCGTTTATAGTGATAATGACGAATTATTAAATGAACTAAGGTAAGACAAGTACAATAACAACCAAATCACTAGTTTTGGACAGGTAGACAGATCAACGTAGAACCTTACACGTTTATGTACCTTTTCAAACTGCTAAATGTTATAGCAGCACACAAAGAGAAATTGAACGGTAACAGATTATTGTCAAACAAACAACAAAGATATGTGATGAAATATAATCATTGTTTATGAAAAATACTAAAATATTTGCATATGATAGAAAGTTAATTCACTTTTACCACTGTGATCGATTTTCAGCTACACCAATAATCCACTAAAATACATTTCCCTATATTTCTGTAAATTAGTAACTAGATGCTCCATAAGTTAGTGCTTTGCATGAGAATCCCCACATACTCAAGACATATCAGTTTTTTGGAGGTTCACAACTTTGTGGACTGAACTCCCTGACTTGTTAGTAAGCTCTTTAATTCCAAAACTCATCGAAATGTGGATATGTAATCACTGTACCCTCACTCGGTTCTTGACAACACTTAATCTTCACAAGTACACTGTTCTTGAGCTGCATCTAGGCGTTGACTAAGTATGAATCGTAGACACCATATTGGTCAGACTGATTCAGGAGAATATCTTATCGACCTAATAAACCAAACCAAAATGAATTAGATGGGTTCTCAAGAACTACTCCTCGAGATTCTGTTGCTTAAGTATGAGTCTGGTTCGAAACAGCATTCACCACTTTGATAAGAGCCAGTAGACTAACTTCTACAGAGCAGTGTGGGCAGAGGTGAATGACGGGCAGCTGTCGTGCAGCCGTGAACCACTCAGATTCTTCCTTTGATCGTTCTGTCTAGCATCCCGGTCACAGTACGGTCCTTCTTGAAGAAACGCTAGCCAGTAATTGTATTCTCCAGGTTTGTCTTTTGATAGGCCTTAGAAAATGATGAATACTACTCACCATTAATGCTTTCTCTATCTCTTTCGCTTTCATCACCCAACAATAGTGATTTTCATTACAGAGACTCCTAGCCAGTTTAGGTTTAGTCTGCTTTCATTTGTAACCATGGTCACAGTCAGCAATTATCTCCGACAATTGTTACTGCATCAGTTAGTTCGAACCAAGTTGATAAGATTTAATGGGTTTAAGTAATCTTACGCCGTAAGTTAATAAACTTCTTTATCATTTTTCTTACAGTGAACGATATTTTGCCGGGCTATAGTAGGACGAAAATCAGCAATGAGCTCAAATAACTAGGTGACTGATCCTTTCATAAATACAAACCTTATATTTTATCTCCAAGGCAAGAACAGTGACTTCCTGGCTAAATTTCCTGGTCCTATTTAGGCTCATACATGTACTCGAACCAATGTACTATAGAAATTTAAGTACATATTCCGGTAAGGCCATAAATCCTTTTGTGGTCCTCTCCAGCGACGGCTAATAGTAAGTTAATCTGCATCCGATGTTGGCTTATTGTCACCAGTGTCTGTCTTTATTTAAGGAGTTTCGTAGATACAAATATCCTGGAGGAAGTCGAGTGCCACATTTGGAATTACATTGAAACATATTCATATGGTTTCCTAGATATGCTAATTGGGTATCCAGACCATCCTCCACCATGATGATATGGAACTATTGATGAAGACTAGAAAAAGGTATCGAGTACGTCAGGATCACTCAGCTTTCTGACAGATTCATTCAGCTAGACAGTCAGTCAGACAAATTATAACCGATATCCAATTAATAAGTGCTCTTTCCGGCCTAGAACTCAATGCCACCCCCACACCAGAGAGTCTACAGAAACCAACTGTCGAATCTCTGGACATTCAAAAGTTGTATTTTGCAACCTCACATACGTTCAAGTGATTTCAAACAAATAACCACACTTTCATCTGGTATGTAGCTCTCAAAAACACAATACACATCCTTCACCTGAGAAATTGCAGTTTAGTAAATGTGTCGTCATGTCCGATTCGTCAGTGGGTTTAAGCATAAGCTACAAAGTGAATTTGGCAGCCTGAGACTATAATTGGTACTCATGTAGCTCATGCAGCTACAGGGATTATACTGTGGTTACAAGCAGAAGCAGTGAGGACAACATGAAGTGTACTGGTGATGATCATATGGCTCCTGCGTACCGCTAAGGCATAACGGCGACTGACACTCCGCAGTTATCCACACACTGAAAGTTGATGTTTTCTTGAGACACCTGAAGGAGAAGGCATATTTGTTCAGCATGAAGACAGACCAACAAATGTTTGCTTGGCTTTGGTCACACCAAATCATTTGCAGATGGATTATAGAACCTGACATTCAGCGACGCGGAACTGTGAACTAAGCTTAAGTTTTCAATCTTTAGGACTAACGCTTTCCAATTCTTTCTCGCTGGCGTATGCAAGCAGAATATTTCGAATGCTAGTTTTACAAGGGGAAAACCCACCGCTGTCACATCCTCATGCAGCAAAAAGTGTTCAAGTTTACATCATGAGGATGTTTGCTACAATGACACCACAATATTTTCAAAAGTTCACTGGAAAGTAGCCCGTTTACATTTGGGAATATAATTTTGTAATATGATTTGCACAGTAACAAAAATTACTAAAACTGTTTCCCATTCATAACAAAAGGTAAGTGGGTAGAGTGGAAATGTACTTTTCTCTATTTCTCTATTCTTCATGTCACCTTTCCAGGGAGGTTAAACAGCCCTAACGTCAGCTTCTACCTATAATTCCTTTATGACAGGAACAGATGACAAGACTGTCAATGAGAAGCTTTTAGTTGTTCGAACACCGTTGCTTATGTGTCATGAAGGCGGCAGATAACTTGCGCGAAACAACTTTAGGCAAAAGAGGTAATTCAGTTGATGAAGTTTTACAACTTTGTCAACTGAGGTGGCTATGACGTTCGAAAGCATCACTAGCTAATATCTACCTAAAATATCAAGTGAAGTAGGTTTAGGTTGTAAAAAGGCAAGATGCGGCTAGACTTAGCCATGGCGTTAATCCGTGAAGTATCTGACCTTTGGTCTGAGCCATAAGACAAAATGCAGACTCTTTATTTGTGGTCCGCATGACAACTGAATTCGATAGTTGTAGGCTCCAGGTGACGTAGCTAGTAATCGGTCTCAACGGCTCAAGTGTATCCCCATATTATTTTTATCTTAATAATGATATCAAGCCCTGTTTTTGACTTATTTCCTCTCCTATGACGACTTGCTAATACGTTTCGTTTCTCTGTCATCCTGCTGCATTGTGTCTTAATATGCGACGTATGGCGAACTGGACTGTAATGCTGAAGTGTTAGGTTTCATGTTAATACTGTTTATCAACAAATCAAACAGTCAGACTTGGAACATGTAATACTTTATAAAACTGACATCGACGTAATGGCAAAAGAAAACTGAACAGGCTTTTCGTAATCAAACTACCCCAAAATTTATTTGCAAAGACACGGAAACTGATGCAGCAGATTTTTTTGAAATTTACTGGTATACAAAATGGGTACTTATGACTTACTGTTGAGGAATTAATAAACTGCTATATCTGTATGTGTTAATCCATGTACTCCCATGAAAACAGGCATCTTAGTAGTTCGGTACGGCTCATCTTTTGCTGCATTCAGAAACATCCTTCATTAGGATCTGACAAAAGACAACCTTAAATAATCACATCATACTACTATCCAACCTCGAGTTCTTCATTTGATATTGTCTATAAGATGCGACCAAACTTGCATTTAGTATTCATCCAATTACTATTATCCCACTCATTTCCTGATTAAATAAATGTTATTTGACATTAATGTACTTCTCTAAATGATTGAACTTTGGTTTTTCGCATATAGCAGCTCTATATTTCTTCTATAATAAAAACCTATACGATTTATTTTATAGCGGAAACTAATGATAATATAATTGTAATTATATTCCTGTAGAAACGAGCGATTTTTCCATCCCGATACTTCGTTATTCATACCTGACCAAACAGTATTGAAAATCAGTTTTCGGAAAACGGTTTCCATTTCGAAGTTGCTTACTCTTCTGATATGTTGGATATATGCCAGTGACAGTTTCACCAATCAAGTCATGAACAAGCCTTTAATTTAACCTTGGCATTTAGCCTTGATGTGTTTTTACCTTGTCAAAAAAACAGATTTATCACAATTATTCTGTTTATCCCACTTATGTAAATGAACTGCATGTTATTCCACTTTATCTTTGACCTTGTATGTTGATTGGTAGAGATTGCCACTAACTATTGTCGATAATTATTGAATTCGCTTTGTGCCTAATGTATGTTAGTGAATGAAAAGAAACTGTTTTCTTTGTTAACGCCTTCACTACTAAGTCAAAATTTTCGCTAACTTGCTTGTAAATGACTCAGATACAGCTCTCAACGTGAAATAGACATCAAATCAACTCATACTGATATACAACTAAACGATGGATATAAGTGGTAAGTTATCATCCAAAAGGAAGTTGATAAAACTTCATATAGTCTAGTGTAAAATGAAAAGCAGAAAAATTGTGAAATAGGTGTATTCTTAATTATTTCAGAAGCTGCCTATCCCAAATAAAGTTTACCTTTCTTAGTTGGGCGTTCTTATAAGTTAGGCCTAGTAAAATTGTTTTGTTCCTTTAGCCTTAGCAGTTTAGCATTCCTGTTAGGTGCATGGTGAAAAACTCCAGCTCAGTGGAGATCGTTTCTCTGAAAACAGACATTTAAGTCAAGGCACCCTCAAAATTATATCATTGCTACGGGAATGCAAAAATACATACTTTCTTCCTGACGTTCACCACAACTTTCACTGATGGGAGATAATCTTTTAAGTAATCTCAGGAGCTACTGCACACCACAGTTTCTATAAAAGTTAACAGTGTGCTCTCGACAGTTCCTACATTACAGTTGACATGAAGATAACTTAGTGAGAAGCATATGGAAGTCTAATGCTTTAATGGCACATTAACCCTGGAAACTTTTGATTGATGAAATGACACTTTAGTTGGTGATACTTTTAATTTCTCAAGAAGATAATATCCACTAACTGAATATTCATGCATAGGTAGGAGTTAGCTAAAGATATAACACATTTGACATAAATGTTGGTGTTTATAACCTAGGGGGAAAGTGGAATAAATAAGCTTCAGTTATCCACTGAATCCAAATTATTTCTTTATAATTGTGAAGCAACTTTATTGATGGATTTTCATTCATTCACCGATAACAACGATAATGACAAACATTTATAGGTCGAATTTAAAACTTCTTATGACTGGTATATTGTGATAACGTTCGCATACGCTTACATATGCTCCTATAGGTTTTCGGATACATTATTTCTGGCGTAAATGAGTAGTTTGAAGAAATATGATCAAACTGGGTGTGGAAACAAATACTTGCAGATTATGTCTGATGGTCCTGCTGTATCATAAACCGATCGACATCACAATTGGGTTTCTAGCCAATAGGTATATTCTCACGTATTAATCACAAAAATAAACAGTACTGGGGTCAAATCTACACAAGGTCATTGATGGGGGTATAGCTTATAAGTTTCAAAACAGGATGATATAGTTGTCCAGTGCTTCCTACTTTCCAATAATTCATTAGCTAACACTGACCTGTAATGAGAAGGGCTTTAAGAATAAAAGTAACAATACCCTTCATCCTCAGAGCAATCACTGAAGTATATCGAGTTATCACTGGAGAATAGCCGATTTCATGTCGCATGACCCTAAGTGCCGACCAAATTCTGGCGATAATTTTGTGATGTGGTCACTAGGTATGAGAATCAACATCGCGATGCACTCTGAATGTTGTTACGTGGCCAGTCTATGTACCTAGTCCAGTCCTACTGGAGGTTAGTCGTCGCCTGAAGGCTCAGTGGTAATGTCTCTGACTGCAGTACTGGGCGACGCTGGTTCGAATCCCTCAGAAGACATCACTTTCTTACAAGTTGCAAACACACCTTGTTGACCAGGGCCAACAAACACGTAACCTAGGTCAAGTAGGGCTTCCTGCTGACTGCCTCCAACCATCTAACATCAATGCAGTTTGCGATAAAATGTCATAAGTAAATAAACTAAATTTAATTGTGATGAGTGAAATTACACTTTGTGTTCTTCATTTATTTGTAGACAAACAAAACAGTTAACTACAACTTTAGACTATGGTATACATCAAAGAAATCAAAACAAAGTACGACATAATTATCAGATAAAACTTATGACCTACTTCTTGTTACCAGTACTCTTTTTTCAACTTACTGGTTCTAAGACGTCAGCTAATTTGTTCATTTTGTCGGCGGATAAATTTCTCAGCGCAGGAACACTTCGTTTAAGTGAAGAAAAAGTCGAAAGAACATTTTAAATAACTGAGTTTCATTTTTATTGAATTAACAAGTATTTTGAGTTCAAATCATTTAAATATTCATGCAAATATGCTGCCTCCGACTGCGTCATAAGTAGTTTGACCTAAGTTGAAGGAGCTGGCGGTTTCAAGTGGATTTTAGAATTTTGTGTAGTATAACTTTCCTATTGTGTTACCCATGTTACTGCCAAGCTATAATAAAATGTTGGGCTAACCCGAGAGAGAATATAAAGCTTGTCTCAAAACTTCTAGAAGCCACTTTCATGAGACATAACTTTTTTTGACAAGTATTAGATTTTTAAATGCTTAAATTGCACTACGAGTTTCAGTGAGAATCATACTTAAAGTTCGAAAGGCACCATATGCCTGAAGATCACCTTGGTGTATTTTAGTTGGTTAAAATCCTGAATAGTCGTTTCTGTTTGAAAAGCACATTCAAGTAGTCATTTGAAGGGTATACAATACAACTACATTTTGATTATACTAAAGAGTACATAGCAATACATAAAACCCTCACTTCACTCAATCAATTAGGCCAAGATGGTATCATCTGACTGCTACCTACATTTATCCTATGAGCTCGGCCGCAAACGAGCGAAACGGCCGTCCGGTGTTCAGATCACTCTGATCTGCCTGGCAAAATACTACAGATCAGCCTAAGTGGATTTTAACTACTCGAGTTGTTCAGTATTAGTAGTACCATAAGCATAAACACAGTTTGAATTCTATGTGCTTAGGAGGTGAACCACTTCAAACGAAATCACAGTGGCGCAAACAAATGAGCCCAACCATAAGACCTAAGCAGGAAGTCAATGTTTTCTTGAATCGTTACAGAATTTCGACCTAATGCTTTTTGGGAACCCATCCATCATAGTCCTACGTCTATCGTTCACCACTGACAAGATACAGTGTTACTCGGAACGCAAGACACATAGGCCAGGTGTTTTTATCGACAGTTATGTTTCTCAAAGAGGATGATTAATTTACGAATTCTTAATAAATGACCCGGTTTACATGGCATTTATCATATCTGACTAGCTTTCCAACTACCCAGCTTTAGTATCAACAAGTTTTCCTTTGCGGACTACCCGACCACGACTACAAGCTGTGGTCTCCAACATATAATTGTTATCAACTAACGAAATATCCTACAAAACAACAGGAATATACCGGTTCATCCAAATCAGCTAGCCAGAATAAGTTGGTTTAAGCAACTCAACCCTGCGATCCAAATCTATCTGGGGTACACAAATGATGAGCTGGGCCCCAAACAAGTGAAACAGAAATCCGATGGCTAGACACTCTCACATGGCTCACTGAATGCATACGTCAATGTGAATGGTATCTGACAACTTATATATTTCAGTATTGTTTGGCTAAATTGACTGATGCTAACAGCTAAGGCTTTGTATATAGTGTTCTCAATTTTACAGCTTCAAAAAAATAGAACAACGACCTACGGTCTGATGTTCCAATTTTCAACTCCTGGCCCCAACGAGACACACAAGTAAGCAAATACCTAATTGTTTTGCAGACTGGTTATTCTAGCCACCATTGTTACAATAATGACATTAAGGTGCACAGCTAACTGAAGTATGTCCATTTCTGCGCACAAAAAAAACGTCTCCAATATCATATCAAAATAAATCACACTTCAAGTCATTTTAAGTCAAATTACCTTAGACGTGGGGAAGCGATGTTTTGGCACACAGGGGTAAAAGTTGATTGTACAGAGAAAGTTCCAGAAGTAGTGAAGACAAGAATTTATTGAATAATGAGAAAAGCTGTGTATGTGTCAATCACTCTTCAGGATTACTGAAATACTTCAAGGCTACAATCATTCAATCACCAGGTGTTAGAATGTACCTACTAAATTATTACTTATCCAACTGTGTATGAGTGTAACAAGAGTGAACTGAATGTGAGATACTCTTAGAACACATGATCTTCACATATGCGAACGCAACACAAATACTGTTTGAAATAAAAAACAGAGATATGCGAATAAGCAATAAAACAGTTATTCAAATGACTGTGACTCAGTTGAAGAGATATTTATTTCTGCGCATTATTTCATTTTAACTTAGCACTTGATTTAACTGCATAATTACAGTCACAGGATATGCAAAGATGCATTAATAATATATCAGGCATTTTAACGTAGCCACCTGAACTCTTTAGCTCGTGAATATATTCAAATATATTTGAATCTACCAGCTCAAACGTTTTCCTATATACTTGAATACAAGGCCAACAAGTTGTGTGCAATCTAAGCTGAGGACTTTGTCTCTGTGATCGAATTTACAAACAAATATGAAGATACTCTAGACCAGAATAAATTTAAGTGAATATCAGGGTTGTTATGAATCTACACCAGGTACCAACCTGTTTTAAAGCATTTAATAGCTGATATCTTATTCCTCTTCTTCAATCCATTAACAGTACACCCTCAAAATACCCTGTTAGAATTAAACCTAAGTCTCTGCATCATCAAAGAGAACTGTCTTTTCTTTCTCGATCACTTTGTTTGCATTCTTCGCATAAAAGTAGGCATATAACTTGTCAATGATCTTAAAACTGATATATTTATGCCGAAAACCGACTAAGATAATCCCCAAGATATTAGTTATTATGGTTTAGGTACAGAAGACACTTTTCAGAGGAAAATGGATCGAATTTTATGAGAAAAGATTCTTTCTTCATTTTATACAAATATGCTGTTAAATTGTTAGTCTACAAACTGCAAGATATGATTGAAATCTTACTTCATACCTTTCATTATTTTGGTAAACAGGGAATGGTTGAAGAATGAAACTTTTTATAGTAGATTTGTTTTCTCAAAAAGTAGTGAAAAAGAAATCAACCAATCAGTCATCACCAATGTACGTTCAGAATTAAAAGTGGTTTTCATCTATTATTGTAGTCCATTAAGAAGCTACTAGAAAATTAGCAAATAAGGAATTCATTCCTGATTGCGTTATACACATTTGCAGTAGCATATGTATAGTATTTCACTTGACTTTGCATCCATATTTTAAAACAGTTTACCAAGGAAATGAGATCTGCTGTAAACGCATATCCTACCGATTCTGCCGAAATCCACATAAAAGACAGTGAAACGAAAGCAATAATAAGTAAAAACAAATAAGATGATACCAGAGATGTAGTACAGCATGATTCCATATCAGATTAGTTTATTCGATATAACACAGTGATAGCGTAATACATTCTAGATGATATTCTGAGCGGAATTTATTACTCATAACCACATCAAAGTAATTACACAACATTCCAGTCCGCTTTTCACAGTCCAACAGCTCCCCATTCTAGTATTTTAGTGGCAGTAGAATCTCCTAAATATCTACTACATGTGATCAGTCATTCTTTTTGCATCTATTAGGTGTTGGTTCGATGAACAAAAATTCAGTCATCTCTTTCGCCTTCTCTTTACACTTCGCTGCGTTGAACTTTAGAATTGTCAGTCTGTCACACCCTGTAGTATGATTATGAGTAATTATGTGCAGAAAAAAAGTAGAGCGTTTTTTTTCTAAATTACTTATCTTGGTGGATCTTACGATCCTATTTTTCGCTAAATTTTTCCGCTTTGCTATCCTGACTGACATCTGTGTATTTGAAATCACAATAATTATATGATATTTCATAAATTAGATTAATTCTCATAATTGGATCTACTGGATCTTTCAGCCTACAATTTTTTTTCCGAGTGACCTTATAAGAATAAATGCCACCCTTATCATAAAACTGTTAGGAATTCTATGTAGAATTTCTGGTTTCCCTAGAATTTCCTTTGATTCATGCTTCGACTGCTACTAATATTGTCATTTGGTTTTTGCTTATAAGTAAGTCCTTCGGAACTTTTTAACAAAACCCAAAAAGTCATCTAGCAAATAGTACTGTATCACTGCGTTACACTAGAAATACTTAACTAATGTGGAATTACGATATCGAAATTAATAATCAACTAAGAGAATAATACAAGGGATGCAACAAAGTTTTGGAATTAAAGTAACAAAACAGTAGGCTTAGTGTTATTGCTTGTATTACACCGTCGTTGATTGGACGAATTGATAAGTCTCTGGTGGCATATGCCCGTCGCACAAGAAGTGTCTATCGTGGTTCGGTGGTGTAGTGGATACCACTGTCGCGTTTGAAGCGATCGCCTCCGAGTCTGAATCCTGATGGGAACAACATCACTCACTGGGAGGCACTACATCCAGTTGACGAATCCCAAGTAGAACGAAATGTGTGTCCTGGGTTCCATTGCTACCCTCTACTTATCATTATTAAAACAGTAGGTTGTCTAAAAATTATTACGAGATACATCCTCCTAATTGCAACTGATCATGAATCACATCATTTAAGGTTTAGCGCCATTATTTGATCTTGATGTATGTGTCGTGCTTCTTGATTCAAATCGACTATGAAAAACTACGTGGATTAGAAATGTGAAACTGTCTTATTATGTAGGAGCAGTAGTTGAGGTGTGTACAGACTGTTTAGCCCATCTGAAGGCATACAGGTCTATATTCTCATCAACTGATTTTTCTTCGTTCCCTTGGACTATATATCCTTTCGATGATCTCCAAACATCTGTTTAAGGCTGGGGAATCCTACTTCGTCAAATACCTGTAAAATTCGTTTATCCTACATCTCTAATGGCTGTTTCATAAAATGCGCTGTTGCTTACTCCAATTTGCTCCTCGTAAGCAGTTGAACATGTCATCTGCGTTACATATAGTATGAGACAACTAAAGTTAAACAACCTCCAAATAAAGGTGTTGAAATCTGACTAGTCATCCTGAACGCGTAAGTTTTCAAACCATTGGGCTGGATTTAATTAGACGACACTTTCATAGGCTCAGTTAGCCTATAAAAGTAGACCTTTTCTACCGACCAAGATAAGAATGCATCTATTTTGAAATACTTGACTACCTTAATAA